CTAACTGGAGAAATAATGCCTTTATATTCAGCTGTCCTGGGGCAGGAGGAATTTAATCCCATGATGAGTACAGAATCATAGAAGCAATAGCAATAGCTTTTACATTTCTATACTCATCACGCTCTAAGCAGCTTACAATCTGTAAGTCAATTGCCCCCAACAACTGAATACTCATTTTACCAACCTATGAAAGGATGAAAGGCTGCGTCAACCTTGGAGCCCTGCCTGGGATTGAACTGGCAACCTTGTGGCTGCAGTACTGACATTTAACCACTGCACCACCAGGGCTAGAATCCTAGATTTGGAGAGACCCCAAGGGGCATCCAGTCCAACCCCATTCTGCCATGCAGGAAAACACAATCAAAGCACTTACTGTGACAGATGGCCATCCAGCCTCTGCTTAAAAACCTCCAAAAAAGGAGATTCAACCACACTCTGAGGCAGCGTGTCATTAAGTCCCACTAATTTCAATGTATCTGCTGCAGGTATAACTACGATATTGTGTGCTGCTGTTGCTGTTATGTGCCTTCGAATCCTTTCCCACTTATAGCAACCCTGTCATGGGGCAAGGTTTGTTCAGAGGAGGTTTGCCATTCCCAAACTTGCTGTTACCTCACTTTTGGGGGGTAGGATGGCAGCATCATTTTGGCTACGGAGTGGTCAGAGAATGAGTTTTTATAGGGCAATATTACTTATTTTCCCACCATGGTATTGTTACGTTATCCCGAGTCATATCAAAATATGTTACATTCCTGACCCTTTTGGAATAATTTTGATGCTGCACTGGAAAACATCTGTGGGGAAATACTCAACAAGCTGCTAAGAGACCCATGATAGTACTGTAATAACAGAAATCAGGCCGTGCCATATTTCTAAGCAATCTTACAAGAGCAGGTAGACACAGCCTAGGCCAGGGGTAGGCAACCTTTTTGAGCCGGGGGCCGGGTTGCTGTCCCTCAGACAATTGGGGGGGCTGAAGCACCAAAAATAAATAAATATTTTTTTAAAAAAATATATGCATGCACACTCTCTCAGCCCCAGAAAAGCCATGGCAAAACCCCTGTGGAAATTTTGCCAAGAAAAACCCAAGAACAAGTAATAACAATAATCAATATCATCATGGCAGGCGGCGGCAGCGGCAGGACCGGCCTGGGGCCGGTCCAAAGGGCTCATGGGGCCACATTCGGCCCCCAGGGCTTAGGTTGCCTACCCCTGGCCTAGGCTTTCAGCTCATTTGGGCATATTAAGAAAAGGAGAAATATAAGGAGAAATAAGCAAACTAAAACTTCCTTGGACAATTATGGCCCAAAACACACTGCAGAAATAATCCAGTTTCAGACTGTTTTAACTGCTCTGGCTCAGTGCTAGGAAATCCTGGGAATTGTATTTTGTTGTGGCACCAGAGCTCTCTAACCAAGAAGGCTAAATGTCTTACAAAACTACAGTTCCCAGAAGTCCCTAGCAGTGAGCCAGAGCAGTTAAAGTAGTTTCAAACTGAATTATTTCTGCAGTGTGTTATGGACATATATTGTAGATGGCAGAGCCTGACAAAGTTACTGTTTGTACTACATATTCCCACCTCCCCCTCCAGCTGGCATAGCAACAACTAGAACATTTTCGCTTGTATCTGTATGGTAATAAAATCTCGAAAAGCATTGCTATGTGGGATATTACATTTGTTGACTCCTCTAAAGTTGTCCCTGTAATTGTGCCAAATTAAAATAAACATTGGGAGCACCTTTAATTTGGTCTGGCTGACTGAATAACATCAGTGGTGCTCTGATGTTCTCGATCTCCAAGAGAGTGCTGCCCATTCCTATTACAAGCATAATGACTATTTTGCAATGCATAGGCACCAGTTGGCAGAATGCAGCTGTCAGCAGCACAGCCCTGTGTCCTGCTCTCGGTGTTGCTGCCTTGTAACAGCTTGTCATTGCATACTCTGTTGTGTTTCCAGTATCCTCACTTGGGAATCAAGTGACCTTCCAGATGTCACTGAAGTACAACTCCCAGCAGCCCCAACCAGCAGTGCCAATAGTGAGGAATGCTGGGACTTGTGCATCAACAACATTTGGAGCACCAAATGATTCCCACCCTGAAATGTAGATGGGATCATCCACGCATAGTGGTCTAAAACACCCTGAGGCCATCTGGTTCAATCTCACTGGACCAATACAACTTTCCTGAGACAAGCATAATCACACTTCATTTTCTGCTAATTAAGTTA